AAAAAAAAAAAAAAAAAAAAGAATTATGTTGTGTAATTTTATAAAAATTAAATGTGCAATATAGCATTGAATGGTTCTATAAGACTTGTAACTAAATACAGAAGATTCTATATGTCTCCATTGCATCCCAGAGACAACTATTTTTTACTCATTTGGCTAGTGCAGTAATTTAGTAGTTGCAACCAGATCAGTGGAACAAAAGAGTCTACAAACGATCCCAGTTATGTGAGATCACTACATATATGATAGAAACATCAATACTATGGAGTGTTTGTGTGTTGGGGGTGGGAGATGGTATGGTTTGTATTTAGATAGCCCCATAGAATCTCATGTAGGTGGGATTTTGGGAGGTGCGTGGATCATGGAATCAGTACATTAGTCCACCAGTGAGTTTATAGCTAAATGTGATGTTGGCAGGTGAGGCCTGATTCGAGGAGATAGGTCACTGGTGCTGTGGCCTGCAAGGGTCTATCTCTTTCCCTCTTTCCTTGTTCTCTTTCTGTTTCCCAGTGCCATGCTATGAATTGTTCTCCTCTACCGTGCCACCCTGCCTTGGAGCCAGCCAACTATGGACTGAAACCTGTACAAACTGTGAGCCAAAATAAACCTTTCCTCCTTAGAGTTGTGGATTTTGGGAATTGTGTCTCAGTGATCAGGAAGTAACTAGAACAGGGGAGGTTTTTATTTTTTTATTTTTATTTTTATTTTTTTGGTACCGGGGATCAAACTTGGGACCTTGAGCTTACAAGGCAGGTGGCAGAACCACTGGAATAAATCCCCAGCCCTGGGGGAGGTTTTTAAGCCAAGTATTATTGGATAAATTGGGCATTCACTTGGGAAAAATAAATCCTGATTTCTACCACACATCAAACAAGAATCTTAAATCAAAAGCACTGAAGTTCAGGCAGGGCATGATGGTGCATGCCTGTAATCCCAGCACTTGGGAGGCCGAGGTAGGATGATTGCCAGGAGTTTTGAGGCTTGCCTGGGCTACACATAATGAGTTCAAGGCCAGCCTGAACGGCATAGCAAAGCCCTCTCTAAAAAGAAAAGAAAAAAAAAAGCACTGAAGGTAAAATATTTTATAATTTAAAAAGGTCTCCATGATCTTGGGAGTAGGCAAATATTTCTTAGACAAGAAACAAAAATAAGAAAAACCATAGGTAAATTAGAAATCATTAAAATTAGCATACTCTCTTTGTTAAAATCACCAGTAGGAGTGTGAAAAGTCAGCCACACACAGAATGACACATACCTGTAATCCCAGCCACTTGGAAGATGGAGGCAGGAATGTTGAAAGTTTGAGGCCAGCTTGTGCAGTAAGAGTGTCTCACAATAAAAATGGGCTGGGGAGGTAGCTCAGTAATAGTGTGCTTGCCTGTCATGTGTCAAGGTCTTGGGTTCAATCCCCAGTACAAAAGGAAATAATATACCTGAAAAATCTAGCCAGAGACTGGGACAATATTTTTTCAGTGCATATAGTCAACCAATAACGAATACCCAGAGTATATAAAGAACTGCTACAAATCTATAAGAAAAGGCTCACAACCCAATAAGAAAATGGAGAATGTGGAAAAGAACTTCGTAAAGGGGGAGCTCTAAATAACTAATCAGCATGAAAAAATTTGTTCCACATTACCAGTCATCAGGATAATGCAACTGAAAGTAAAATGAGCTATTAGTATGCACCCACTAGAATAGCTGTTAAACAAACAAGAAACAACAAACCCTGTAGTAACAAGGATTGGGAAGACATGAAGCAATAGGAATTCTTATTCCCTGCTAGTAAGAGTATAGACTAGACTGGAATGACCACTTTGAGGAAATGTTTTGGCAGTTTTTTACTAAAGCTGAATATAAGTATACTCTTTTAGCTCCACAGAATGTACTAGGTATGTACTGAAGTGTGTAATATGTGCACCAAAGCCATATATTAGGATATTCCCAGACATTATTCATAAAAGGTCCAAATCGGAAACAATCCAAATGTGTGTGTGTGTGTGTATATATATATATATAATATATATATTTGTGTATGTTCATGTAGCAGAATACAACACTGAACAAAAAACACTCCTATGTGTAGAAATATGGATGAATCTCACAGATTTAACATTAACTGAAATAAACCAAAAACATAAATGCACATAGTAGGCAGGCATAATGGCACATGTCTGTAATCCCAGCACTCTAGGAGGCTGAGGCAGGAAGGGTCACAAATTCAAGCCCAGCCTGGGCAACTTAGCAATTTTTCAAGACCCTATCACTAAATTAAAAATAAGGGCTGGAGGTGTAGCTCAGTACAAAGTCCCTTGGTTTAATCCCTAGTAATAAAACAAAACAAATCTGCAAATGTACATAAATGTAAATGATTCAATTTATGTGGGCAAAAATTAAGCAATAGTGATGGCGATAAAATAGTGTTTTCCTTTGAGTGAACCCTAAGAGGGAGTATATCTTGGCTTGGATGCTGGTTATGTGGGTGTGCTTACTTTCTATAGTCATCAAGATTTCTGCATTTTGGGCCAGGGATTTAGCATAGTGTTTCTACCACCTGCCTCTCGAGGGCAAGGTCCCAAGTTCCATCCCCAGTACATAAAAAAAAAAAAGATTTCAAAGATTTCTACTTTTTCTGAATATATAGTATATCTCTACAGAATTATAATAAGTGAATTTTAGTTAGAAAAAATAAATTAGTCTGAATATGTTTACTCACAAAATTGTGAGTTATTTGATCAAGTAACAAACATAAAATTACTGTTTTTCTCTTTCCTCCAATATTAAAAACTGGAGATAACTTGTCAATTGTAATAATATTAATTTGGGTAGCTTGTTTCTTTCTAAATGGTCTTTGATTTTTAAATTTATAACTAATTTATGTCTTCAATTAGATACCACTGCAAATTCTCTTAGGCATAAATTTCTGATAAAAAAATTAAAACATACTATTTTGGCAATGAACTGTGGTTTCTGTTCTTTTACTTCTACAAAACTAAAAATAAGCAAAAACGTGGTGGCTTCTTTTTAAATTTCAAGGAAATGAAATGAAAAAGAAGAACGTGTCCACTAGATGGAGACAAAACTCAATACTTAACTCTTACAAAAAAAAGTACACTCAATGTAAAAACGTGATATCTTTATTAAAGAGCTAAAACGCTAATATCTTATCAAGTTTGTATTTAAATTTAATATCATTTAGTGGTTTTTTTAAAAACTTTGGTGGGTTAATTTTTACACTTTGTTTAATTCTATGGATTTACAGAAAGTTTCAAATCATCTCAGTCTTTTCTGCTCTTTTTTCTGTTTTGGGGTAACTGCATAAGCAGATGTTCAATGCTATCAGTTTTTCCTCAGAGAAATAAATGCTATAATAGATTTGATACCTTAATCTAGATTCTAACAGTCCTGATCTAAATTATTTTAAAAGCCAGCCAAATCGTTCTTATAAAGTAATGAGCCATCTTTTCGAACTTATGAACTTTGAATGCTGCCAAGTAAACTTGATTGGGAGGCAATTATCTTATTTCTTATTTTGTCATTTAATGG